CAGTAGGTATATATTAAGCATTTTACTAATTTGGGTTCTGAGAAATGTCCTACTGAGAATATGCATTAATGCTTTACAAATATAGGGAATGTTTCACATGGAATTCACTTGCTTTTAAATTTATAAGAGAGAAGATTATTAATTCACCTTAAATGCTGCTTATTAATTTCAATGTTATTTGGCAAATATTGGCCTTTTCAGTAACTCATTTGCTCTTTGAATGTACCGTCAGGACCTTTATAAAATTTCAGAGTATTTTAAGATTTTGATGGGTTGCTCAGCAACATATGAAATAAAGTTGTGTTTTAATCACCATGGCAAGTATCTGTGAATGGCAGCTCTTGACATAGGACATAAATTTGAATCATTTTTCATCAATTTTCCTACTTATAAGCATGATAACTGGAATGTATTTCAGAATCACAAATCCAAGCAACTGAAACCCTTTCTTTAAACTTACATTTAGCCTTTTCCATTCAGTTCAGCTCAGGACTGAGTTCCCCACATAAAGACGTGTTTCGGACTGCCTTGTCAGGAGCTCTCTGCGGAGCAAGTGCAAACCCCTCTATAAAATGCTGCTGTGTCTGCGGTGACTGATCAATTACACCAGCTTCTCACAAAAGCAAAATTTGCTTCTCACAAAAGCAAAGTGAGTCACCTTCTTCCAGTGAGCCTTTTTGGTTTTGCGCTTCAAATGCAAGACCTGTTGCTGTTGGAATATTCCACTTTTGACGCTCTGGTTAGCTTTGTGGCAAGCAGCTAGCGACCCTTCAGCTACGTTTGATACCATTTCTACTAGTTTGAGAGAAAGTGTTTCCCAGGAAGAAACACATTTGAAACCTTGTATTGACATCGACTGACTTCCACCACTGCTACAAAGCATGGCTGAATCTGGATTAGAATCTAAGTGATCTCAGGCGATGATAATAGTGTTATGGTTGTGTGGTTTGGCTAGACAAAGAGAAATCCCTCCTCTCGCTGCACCAGTCATGGTCAGAGGCTTAGCCTCTGCCTACCAATGACGGCATCACGTTGGATGTTTTAGCTTCTTCATCTCCTGTATTGACGTGACAGTATTCCCGAGGGAAGGCAACCTTTTACTGTTATTAGTTAGTGCCTTGACCCTGAGACTTGTGTTGGCAGCCCCTTAAGGATGGAGAGCAAGTGAAAATGGCACCATGCTGCTGTCTTGTGTGAAGACCAGGTGATCAAATACATGTTTAAAACTCCTTGATAGCGATGCTACCCATACGCAGACTCTACGGCCTATAAAAGGAATTACAAAAATCCAGCTGAGAGGTAATGAAAACATGAATTAATGACTTCGTAGCCTTCTGTGAGAGTCTTGGTCTCAGCTTTGCTGACTCCTAGAGGTGCCAGCATGACACTTTTGATATACTCCAAGTAAAAAATTCAATGAATGACCCTAACTTTATGTTCAAAGTGGCATGAATATAAAACTGGCAACTCAGATTGTATGTGTTTTTGCAGATTTTTAACCCCAAGAAATATTCAGAAATACAGGGCTGACTGTCACTTTGATATGTAGGCGAATCAGCAACAGTTTCCTTGGGGTCTTACAAGACTGAAAAATTAACTTTTGTGTCAGCTTCCTAACAGCGGGCTCCCGTTGACATGGAGCAGCACAGAGCTGCTCCCCCAGGACCCCAGTACATAACCAGGCTGGGCAAAAATACTCAATTAAAGTGTAGAAAACAAAACAAAACAAAAGACTGAAAACGTTTCAGACAACAATAAATCTTCAATGCTTGAAACAAGTCAACAATCCTGCTAGGGAGAAAAAAAAAACCCAACCCAACAACCCAAGAAAAATATCCCAAACTAATTCCTTAGCAAAAGATTTCAGAAGATCATGTTTTCACACTGGTTTCGAAGTGAAAAGCAAGATTTACTGTCACTGCTCCTACAGAAGTTTTCACTGAGAACTGGTAACCTTATTCCAGAGACAAAATGTTCAAACTAGTCGATGCTTCCAAAGGGAAATAAAGCTGCTTTTCTGCCTCAGAAATCCTGCTGGCTGCCAGTGTTGACACAAAACTTGCTCTTGACTGAGCTCCTGAATGCTCAGCAAGCTCAGTAGGGTGGTGTAGTTGTTTTGTTTATTTATAAGCGTGGCAAGTTTCCTACTGTAGCTGCTACCACATTTAAATGATCTTGGCAAGAGCGAGGCGTACGGGATACATTCTGAAGAAGGACCATGTCATTGCCTGGCAGGCAATTTCCTTTTTCTTTAAGCCCAAAACACATCTTTCCAGCCTCTGCTAAGTGTTACTATTTCTGAGGATATTTGAAGCAGGTAAAATGGTAGGAGTGCTAGAAGGGAGATAAACAAGGACTCTGGAAAAAAGCCTCACACTGACCTTCAGGCAGAATACTGAGGGCTCTCCAGGCAGTTTTTTCTTCCTCAGTAAAACCACTCACAGCAGACAAATACATTACTTAGAATTTCTGCAAGGTATTGTAAAAGTCATAGCATTTCAGCATCCCAGAAAGCCAAAGAGGAAGTCTTTTTAAAGTTAAGGAGCATTTTCCTGGATCCATAGTAAGTCTACAGGCAGAACACTGGCATCTAAATCTATCTGAATTGACCTTCAGAGGAAGAAGAAACGTCTTTCAGGCCAAGCATATGTAAATGAAACACCTGGTTATGCGAGGAGCCAGAAAAAAATAAATCAAAGTTACTTGGAAAGTTTACAGCATTCAAAGTCTAGTGCAGCTTGCTAAGAGAGTCAATAAGGCTGGGAGTGAGCGATGGCCCTAGGAAGGACAGCGGTGGTGAAACACCAGGAAATGGATGTTCCAATTAACACTTTTTATAAGAAGTCTTGATCTCAGGTTTTAATGAATATTCTGCATTTCCTGTTTTCCAGGCAAGAAGTCAAGGGGTTTTGTGTTTGGGTTGGTTTCGTATGGGATTGCATGTTACTATGGAAGCTACAGAGGTTTCATGCTCTGTCTTACCGCAAACATTTTGGGTCATTTTCCCCCTTCCCTACTTCACTCTTCTGCATACTACCCAGCGCCTCCAAAGAGCAAAGCTTTCTAAGCATAGCCATATAATTTTCATAATCAACTGGTCCCCACTAGCAAATCCCACAGCTTAAATGCTCAGTGCTTCTGTGTAGCCCAAACATCTCTCACTCCTGTTCATTCCTCCACTCTCCGCCCTGCTGTCTCATCTCCCTACGTGCAGAGGAAAGGGTGAGTTCTGCAGTGCTGGGGGAGCACTTGCCCCGGAACGGCGCTATTGGAGCTGATGGAGGAAGCAAACCCTGCAGTGGTGAATCCATCTCAAACTCAAATGTGATTTTAAAATTCATCCTAGGCACCTTCTGCAAAGAACAGTTCTGAAATCATGCTTCCCCGCTTCGGCTTGGGAATTAAACTACAAACGCTCTGTGTAGGTCAGCTACTTTCTAGTGTCTACGTTCAATATGAAAGTCTAATTGGCATATGCATTTTGGGATCCTGCTGGTTACAAATCAGTTTACAAACTGATCCACAAATGGCATGCCATCTAGGAATCAGTTCAACAGCTGCTGAAATTCAGCCGTTTCTGGAACAAACGATGACAATTGCTTACAGGACCCTAACAGCAAAACTGTGCTAGACACACAGCCAGAAGTACAGTGCCAAATGCAACCAGATGAAAATTATAAATTTTCACAGTGTTAGAACTTGCTCTCAGAGTTATCTAGACTTCTCAAAGTTTTGTCTGCACTAGGGTATTTTTTAAGGGTATTGATGAACTGTTAAAATCAAGCCAACATAAAGTTCTGCTGTTAGCATGTCCTAGCTGGATGAGACAACTTCGCAACTGCTGGAGTTTTAGAAAGTGTCAATGTGACAGAACAATTTCGGAGGAGAAAAGGAAAAGCCACAAAAGAAAGCAAACTTCTCCACTCCTACTTTATTTTACTCTGTAGAAACTCTCAGCTCAAACTACTCCCATCCTGTGAAAAATCATACACCATTCACAGCTGCTCAGTAAGCAAACCTTTTTTATATACTTGTGAACTAATATAATCAGTAATTATTATATTGATATTAGAAAAAGATACAGGGATACAGGTGTCAGTGTTTGATAATGGTTTGCAAATGGTTTCTATGCTGTTGAGTGAACTATAACTTACACTCCCAATAGGCACTGAAATGAAGGATAATCCTCAGGTCTTCTGTGTACTGTTATTAGTAAATTGTACCAAAAGTTTTTGTGTTTATAAGGGCTATTTTTATAAGCATTTGTTCATTCATTCATTTATCTTCAGCCTCATTGAAAATTAGCATATTAAGCAGATAAAGTGGAATTCAGGTTGGTCAGTTTTACTCCTGACTTCAGCAGCTATCAAGAATCTGAACCTGACTTTCCCCATACTCCATGAGACAGAGTCAACACACAGCTAGAGAGATGTCTGTCACTAAAAAATAGCCTTTCCCTGTGGAGCCATCCTTTTGCTACATTCACAAGCTCTTTGCGATGGAAAAACCAGAAGCCAGATTCTGATTTCACTTACAGTGGCCTAATGTACCTGTCATCAAAGCAGCGACTTTAGGTTTACCTCACTATAATGGAGACCAGAGTCTTGACTAAATATTCCGTATATGCACCCATATAAACATAATACTAACTAGCAAGTGAGAACGAGACTAACATCTTAGTTTATTTCCATTTGTAACTTGCATGGTAAATTTACTGCAATCATAATTGCTTTTTCTTGTGCCCTCACTTTATTTTCACCTTTGTTCTTCAAGAGGGTTATTGATTTCTCTCCTCTTCAAACACCGTATGATCTGGCAAGTCAAAGGGGATCATTTCAATGGTGAGGAGTGGATCAGGACAAAACCCTGAATAGCAGAACTAAAAAAATGCCATTTCTGGGTAAGCTTGTAGTCACATTAGCAGTGCTGTTGTATGTGAAGAACCCCAAACCTTCTTCATGGACTACTGTCAAAGGCAGCTGGTGTGAAGAAACGCCTACCTGAAGACGGCAAGGCTCAGGGACCAGAGCACTAGTGGTTTCCTCAGTTCAAATTTTGCTCGTTTGTTCATTAGGTGCCGACCACCAAATATAAAGGCAGCATACAGAGCTGAGAATAGGAATGATTTCTTCCTGCAAAACAAAACCAAAAAACACCTGTCAAGTATTTAATTAGTATTAGATACACAGCAGAGTCACATCTGGACATAACTGCCAAGGGCTTGTGCGTTTCCTTGAAAGGCAACTCTTTTGAAGATGCTCCTGCAGCTCAGCTGAGATTATCGTTAGTGTATGTACCTACATGCCTGCACACAGGGCCAGGACCAGGTGCAGGCAAAACTGACCCTGGGGAAGTTCTGAAGAAGGACAGCCAAATTTGGCTGCCGTTCTTCCCCAGTTTCCGAAGACTGAACTTCTGTGAGGAAGAGAATAGATATTGCAGAGCCCAGCCACACTTCTGCAAGCACAATGCGGTTGATACTTAGAATCATAGAATCATTAAGGTTGGAACAGACCATTACGATCACCAAGTCCAACTGATAACCTAGCGCTGCCAAGTCCACCACTAAACCATGTCCTCAAGCACCACGTCTACCTGTCTTTTAAATACCTCCAGGGATGGAAACTCAACCACTTCCCTGGGCAGCCTCTTCCAATGCCTGACTACCCTTTCGGTGAAGAAGTTTTTCCTAATATCCAACCTAAACCTCCCCTGGTGCAGCTTGAGGACGTTTCCTCTCGTCCGATCACTTGTTACTTGGAAGAAGAGACTGACCCCACCTCGCTACAACCTCCTTTCAGGTAGTTGTAGAGAGCAATAAGGTCTCCCCTCAGCCTCCTCTTCTCCAGACCAAACAACCCCAGCCCCCTCAGCCGCTCTTCATCAGACTTGTGCTCTAGACCCTTCACCGCCTTCGTTGCCCTTCTCTGGACACGCTCCAGCATCTCAATGTCCTTCTTGTAGTGAGGGGCCCAACACTGAACACAGTACTCGAGGTGCCGCCTCACCAGTGCCGAGTACAGGGGCACCATCACCTCCCTGGTCCAGGGAGGTGAACCAGCTGATCACATTTTGTGGCATATTTATCTTTCTCATATCAATTTTTGTTTCCTGCAGGCTCCTTGCTACCTGGCAATTTAGTTTCCCATTGTTTCATCCAAGAAGACACTTAAAGAAAGATCTTGAGCACTGCAACACAACATGAAGAGCCTCATGAAAAGCGGAGAACCAGCAAGGAGAGCTCAATAGCCCTATTACGCAGCGACCCTGCTGGGTGGCATCGCCCTGCCGCACAAGCCCTGCCTCTGACTGCCGGTTCAGGAAACAGTGAATTTGCTGAAAGGTCAAGCAGGGCTCTGTTCAGGAACTTCAATAATACTCTTAGAATTGCAAGTTTTATTTTTAAAACTGCCTGATAGTAGTCCAGCTCAGCAATAATCAGCAAACATTTGAACTCTGCTACTGTAACTCACTGTAAATCAACCATTAGAGGTCAAAAATAGATTCAGCCTGGGATTCCTTCCCACACAGCACAATGTTACACTGACTAAGACTTAATGACAAACAGCATTAATGGTGGCCTAACTGGATAGGCGTATATTTAGGAACAGATTTTTCTCTACAAAATCTATAGTTATATTCACAAATACCAGTGGAGCATGGCTTTGCACCAAGAGTGCTGGTTCTTTTTGGACCCCAAAAAGAAACACAAACACTCTCAAGAAAGGTAACTACTTCATTAACATCCCAGAAAAGGCAGCAGCAAGCTACAAGATCTTACGTTCCTTCTGACGCTGGAACCCCGAGATGATGCAGCGTCAGACAGACCTGCGATCAGGGCACGGCACGCTGCCCAGGCTTCCCATCAGAGGTGAGGTTCACCTGCCTTGTGGTCTTTAGATTTTTTCTAGCATTTTCAATTGGATGTTTATATGAAAGCATGTTGCTTCACCTCAAGATAAAGATAAGGACGTGCCTGTGGCATCACTGCTGGTACCAAGTAGGTACCACCTCCAGGCTCTTCAGCACAGCATGGTCCTGAAGGCCAAGCACTACGTGCAGCGCAGTACGGCACGGCACAGCACAGCATGTGTCTGTGCCCGCTCAAGGCAACTGGTACACGGATCACGAGCTCCTCAATGGACGAGGGTCTTCCCGTGAGGGCCATGAAAACTAAGAAAAGCTGTAGCAGCACATCTGATTGGAAGTACGAAGAAAGCACATGCAGCCTTCACTGGAGATAAATGACTTTTATATGAGTTTGAAAGCTAAGTAAAAGCAAAGTCGAAAGAGACAGAGGCTTATCAGTATGCATGCAGCAGCACGCTATTTTCTACCCGCTTAGAAACTCCTCTGTTTCTATTAACATGTTTATATCTCTGTGTTGCAAAACACAGGTAACTGCATGAAAATCCACCTGGTGCTCTGCACTGAGAAGGGAGGACCCTGGTGCCTGCAGTCCTCCAGGTGAGCTTTAGCATCTGCGCTGGCAACAAGCCCCAGGAAGACCAGGATGACCACAGAGCCAGCGTCCTCTCACCTTGTGCACGGAGATGGTCTAATTGCCATGGCAATGTTTATCACAACCGGGTTTTGAAAACCACAAAGCCTCAGCCCTTATTCATCTCATGACAGAGAAAAAAGCATTCATATTCACTAGTATGGTCTTGAATTTCACAGTCAGGGAAGGGGCAAAATTACCACATTTGAGAGCATGACTGCAATTTAGCTTGGGTGGAGGTCCACAAATATTTGTTGACTTGGGTAGTGATGAACCATCTCAAACTTGCTCATACCAAACAGCCTAACTGTTAAGAGTTATGAGTTACGGGACAGGAGCACACCCTCAGTGTGAGGTTGGACTGCATTCCCATCTCCTTCCCTCTGCAGCCTCTTCAGCAGTGGTGTGCAGAGCAGCCCGTCGCCAACCTGGGCATGGGCGAGGGAAGGCAGAGGGAGTGTGATGGGCTGTTCCACAGTCTGTAGTGCTGTCCTGGCTGCCCCAGGGCATCGGGAGAGACGTCTGTTGTGCATGCTTCTGCCCCTTCAATCCCACAAAAGTCTGGGCTTACAGCGCTCAGCGCAGACAGCCAGCAATGCGCACAACGAGGTACGGAGATATGCGTACACACATATGGCCGCTAGAGCCAGGTCCCGTGCAGGGGTCCCACAGGAGGGACCCTCCAGCCTCACGCCACGAGGGAGGTGCAAACCCCCCACCTCACAGCACTGCAGCGGGAATCCCTCACACCAGAGGCAGGAAAGGTCTGTCTTGCACCGGTCCATGCATGGAGCTCCAAAGCAACCGAAAGCAGTGCAGGAAGACATCTCAAGCAGTGCAGGATGACATCTTGGTGCAGGGGAAAAGACTGCAACACAGCGCTGCCATGCAGCTGCCAACAGGACACGGGCCTCGCGGGCTGGCACGGGAGGAGGTCAGGATTTAAGAGCAGTAGCTAGAGATGCTTTGCAGGAAGGCAGGCAGTCAGGAAGCACTTCAGTTCTGGATCAAACACAGCCAAGACTTCATAGTAATGGTTCGACTTCGGTTCCAATTCAAGAAAAAAAGACCAGTCTGAATGAGTTAGCAGTTCAGGTCTGTGCTCTGTTTGACTCCCTTCTTCCTGGGCAAGATACTCCATGTATTTACACCAAGTAACATTTCGTTTTGCTTCTTATTACTGAAATTATTTTTTTGTGAGTTCAGTCAGTCTATTGAGGTCAATAGTTACATTATACTCATTAGAACAGACAAATTTTAGGTCACTTTTAGCAGCTTTGTAATGAGTTCAGCATTATTTGCCATGGTGGTAAATGGTATTCCCGCAGTATACAGCTTTGTATTGGTGGTGGCAGACACGAGATTTGACTGCACGCCTGATGTGAACTGTAGAGAGCAGCTGTAAGCAGTTTCAGACAAGGAAGGACGCAGCAGTATAATCCCCTATCAGAGTAAGCACAATACTGAATAACGATTAGGCTGATTTTGAAATCATCTCTCTGTTTTGACACCTGCTGACGACTTTTGATAACTTTTTGCATCCAAAGGACTTTGAATTTTCCCCTCTTTGCAGCATAATAATGGTTAAAGGACTGCATAGTTCAGGTGATACAGTTACAGAGGGGTTGCAGAGGTATGTACTCCTAAGATAATCTGTTTAACTGCATTAGACTGGTATTACCCAGCTTCCCATCAGTGTTTTTATGATGGATTTTCCTGAAAGGTGCATGACTACAGTCTGGTTGTGGGCTGGTGACACAAGGCAATGGCAATCTGACAGCATTCAATTCTATCTGATATGGTTTTAGCCAAAGGAAGCTAATATCAAATGAGCATTTTTTAAAGACAGAGTTTTGAAGTTCTGGAGCATTGTAACTTTTCATTACTATTACCTGAAGAGAAACTAGACAGAGCAGAACAATGACCAAAAAATTAACCTTGAAACTAAGAAAATAAAAAAACCTCCCAAAGTAATTCAGTAACAGACTCGCATCCAACAACTTCAACGTTAGCACATTCATATGTTTGTCTTCAATTCTGTTCTGTAGGGTAACACAGTAGACATAAAGACAAGGCTGCCAAATCCTCCACATATTTCTGGCATTTCTGTTTCTCACAGTTGTCTCCCACCTTCCTACATTTTCAGACTTCCGCGACTAAGTACTATCTCTACTGAATACAACTCCATGTTTCCCCGAAGTTGCCAGCTCTTTCCCCCAAAAGGGAGGCAGGGGAATTTTCTGGAGAACCTATAAAATGCTCTGCTCAGGCTGGGGGTTACTACAAGAAAGGGAGGCAAGAGTTTGGGGCTACGGGCTGAAGATGTGAGGCAGATCTTCCAGGACGTTAGCACAGAGGTGGCCGTATCACGAGGCAAGGGGACAGGCAGAAGCAGCTGATGCGATGGGAGAAGCAGAAGAGAAAGAACGAGTGGTAAGCAAATGACGGGAGCTGGCGGCCAAGAAATGGATGTGAAGCTGGGACAGCATGGAAGGGAAGGAGGCTTGAAGCCCTTTCTCTGCTGAAGCCCCTGGAGGGATGCTTCTTGCACCCATGGGCACACCAATGGGCTCAGGCTACCCACGCTGACCACACAGCTTCGGTCACTCTCCTGCAAAAATCCTACAA